CGTATATAAAAAATGTTTGATTAATTAAATAGGACCCACATTAATATTTTGCTATTTAATTTTGCATGCAAAAATTTATTATACAACCATTCTAATCAAATATATATTTTTTAAATCTTTAAATCACAGCCTCAAAATTAAGCTTCACCAATGTCAACCACTGACGTATAACACTCGTTCATTTATAGAAGAGTTCAATGCAGACAAGATAGTACAGAGATACACGAAAGCTTCCATGGCATCACATATAAGCCAAATATGGGGTAATTCCCATATTTTGTTAATTTATCTCGTCTTTGTTTGCCTAGTTTATGAATGAATTGTTTCTATCATGAATGCATTGATATATAATTTATTCTGTATTATTATTAAAAAATAATATAAATTATATAATAAAATTTTATCTAATAATTTAAATTATTGAGTTAAGATAATTCTTAGACATAGTACTAGAGTTTTGATAACCAAATAGTATCGAGTTCGAATCTCATTATTTTTATTTATTTGATAAAAATTAAATACAAAATAATATAAAATTATATCCTAAAATCTCACTTAATAAATTAAATTATTAAATTAAAATAATTATTTTCAATTATAAATATTTTTCACCCATTACCTGTGGCTGGCAAAAATAGGATTCAATGCAAAATAGCACTAAACTAAAGGATGCAAAATAGTTTTCATGCTGCACAAGTTTTTAAAATAATTTTTATTTGAAAATATATTAAAATAATATATAAATTATTTTTAATATCAGCAAAATAATTTAAGAATCTAAAAAAAGAAATTTAAATAAAAAAATATAAATTTTACTAAACCCTACCTAAATTTCATACAGGTTAGTGTTTGTAACCTCACTCTCGTGAGTGCCCTCTTTTTATCATTAAATAATCTCTGCTTCCATATGATGTGAAAGGTCACGCCATCAAGACATTGAGGAAGCTAAAATAACCAAGAAAGAGAGACAAGAAACAAACTTAAAGGACAAGTAGCCTTACAGACACATGAATCTGTGCATGTACATGAAAGCGATCGAAGAAGAAAGTTGTGTAGCTTACAAGAACTTCCTATGTTTTTCCACGTCCATCCTCGTCAACAAGCACTAGCATTATTGCAAGATATAAAGCATGATGTCCACTAACTGGTAAAATTAGGTGAGCTTGGAACTGAAAAGATCCTTTTCATGGCTCCTTTTCATAGTGTTTAAAGCAGACCACCTGCAGTTTTTTATTCGCTAAACAATAATTAGAACAAGGAAGTAAGATCTACGAAAGAGGAACGGGGACGGCGAGCTCGAGACTGGCTCTGTCAGGTAGATGGAGACGAATTAACATGCAGCAGCAACTTGTAGGGCTCTGTCAGGTAGATGGAGACGAATTATCATGCAGCAGCAACTTGTAGCTCTTACGACGACATAGATCATTTATATAGTTAATTATTAATCGGACGTGATTAATCACAAGAGAGACTTACATGAGTAATGACAAGGCAAATCACTGCTCAAATCCCTGGGGTTTTAAATTCCAGACTCGGACTGATAAAAGAGAAATAAGACGTCCGTTGCCCCCTCTTCTTTTCTCTTTTTTTGTCCATCACAATAATTTTTTATTAAAATAATATATTTTTTATTTTTAAAATTTATTTTTAATATCAATAAATTAAATTAATTTAAAAATATTAAATATATATATAATTTTAAAAAATACAATTTTTTTTCTTTAAAAAGATTCAGCCTTAATTCAAAGTAAGTTACGTGATTCTTTCATCTGGAGGAGGCATTTACTGGGCTGGTCGTTGGTGGGGAAGGTTATCATGTTCCTATTGGTTTCTTTCCTTCTACAAAATATTCTCCTTTGGCACCATAGGTTTGACAGTGGAAGTTGTTTTATTAGGCCTGTCAAGAATTCCGTCATGATTGATTTTTTATTTTTTAAAAAAATTAAAATTTTAAAAAATAATTATTATCACACTACACTTTTAAATATGCGTTTTATAAATTAATACATTATCATTAGTTAAAAAAAAATATTAGTGGAACCACAAGGTGTAAATGGTAAATAAATTTCAAGTGATCAAAACCAAATTAACACTATACCTAACATACCGACACATGTTTCTTTCCTTTTACAAACTATTCTCCTCCGTCTCTTTTTCCTTCTTTTTTTTGAATATGACCATTTACATAGTGATTGATTAATGAAACAGTTGTGCTTGTATATTATTTTGAAAGTACCTTAGAATATTTTAGTAGTTATTTTTTAAAGTAGTTTTATTTAAAAATATATTAAAATAATATTTTTTTTATTTTTAAAAAATCATTTTTAACAATAGCATATTAAAAATAATATAAAAAATTTAAATTAAATTTTTTAAAACACAAAAATAAACAACCTCTTCTCCTTACGAGCACCCATACCGTTATTCTCTAAATTTTAACCAAAAGGGCTGAGAGTTAATTATTTTAGCTAGTTGATTAAAAAGAGTTATTAAATTCATGCTTTCTAAAATAAAAAGTCATTAATATTTTATTATTATTTTCTAAATCAAACAAAACAGAGCGTCATCACTTTCATCGTGTCCCTCTCCTGGTCACCATCAATTCCAGCCGACAGTAACACACAGCCTTCATCTCTCCAGGCCGTGAACCACACAGTCGACCCTGCACCGCTGCTCCAGCGGTCAACACGAAAGTCCAGCCAAAGATTCAACCTCCATTCCGACCTATTTACCCATAGTCCATGCATCCCCCAAAAGCTCACACAAAATCATCATTGTCATATTTGAAAGCCCCTCCACTGTTCAATATTTCTCTCACGGCCCATAGCGGTGGCGTTGCCCTTACACGCCGGCGACGGCAGCTTCCGCAACTCCGTCACTCTCTTTCTCCTCCACCCACAATAGCCAGCAACGCCGTTAACGTTCAGCCCATCCACGACTCCAACTCCACCCAAACAACCCTCTCTGACACAGCCACAAACGATAAGTTTATTTTCCCGCGTCCTCCTCACACCTTCATTTGAGGAGTTGATGAACAAGTACTGCTGGGCTCCAGCCCAATGCCTAGGGGCTAATTCCATGAAAAAAAATATTTAAATGTTAGAGGTACTCGCTCGCTTCATTTATGTAATTGAAGTGGGCTTATAATATCACCAAATCAAAGTCCAGTCTGCCAAAACACACTCTCTCTCTTTCCGGGATCCATGAAAAAAAGAAAAAGGTCCATCTCGCTCACAATTAATCCTCCCAAGTCCAACCATGGATTAACTGTATTTTCCGAAACAACTTAAATGGAAGATTGATACATCAAACCAGATTCATGTATTGCATAAAATATTTTAATTTTTTTTCTTGAAATATTTTTATAAAAGAATCAATCCATATAAAATATTTTACATTTATTTTATTTATTAGAAACAATTTTAAACTAATTAAATTTCAAAAATCCAAATAATATTTCATTTAAAATTTCATCTCATCTCAGCTCATCTCGCCTTAGCTGACTCCACCTTCTCTTCTCTTGCAACTGTAAGAAAACATTCAACCCTCTCCGTCTTTCTTTTATATCTTTTCTTCTCCTCCACTAACCGAAAAACTAAAACTATCAATATTTATATTTTTCATACCTCTAAAAAACCTTCTCCTAACTTTTCTCTTAATCACGCCATGTTACAAACACAAGGTTCTTTTTAACCAAATATTTCTTTTTTATTTTTCCTTAGACCTGAATTGGTATAGATTTTTAGTTGGTCGGTTCAGATTTTACAACTATGCTATTATTATCATTATCATTTTACCAATATCATCCTATTACTTTACAATCTTCTACTTTTCTCCTACCTTATTATCATTATTATTATAATTATTATGCATTGATAATACTTAAAAAAAACAATTTCTAGTAATTTAAGCTATGCATAATAAGAAAAATTCAAGCCTATACTAACTAGGATTTTAACACAACATTAAAACTAACCTGATACCCCCAACACATTTTTTAATGAATTTTTTTTAGTTTTCAAGAGCAACATGCACAAACTTTTCATGCACATGAATTTTTTATGCACACCTAAATTTTTCTTTGGAGAGTAGGCAGTATTTTTCTCAAATAATAACATTGCTCATCACCAATATTTTTTTTTTGTTTTTTTGTTTTTATTTACGTGGAGTGTCCGGGCTAGCTGACGCGTACCACGACTAATCTTCACGGCCCACTGAACATCCTGCAAGTCCAGTGAGCTGGTAAGGCACCGCGGGGGTGACAGACGTGCACGGTAAATCTCGAACCCAGGTGCAGAGAAAGGAGACAATCCCCTCCCACCACTAGGCTAGAACCGTATTTGCATCACCAATATTTTCATCAATGGTGTGAATGTACAATAACTATGGCTTGACACAATAGCCACCATGGCTAGTTGATAATAACACACTAATTTCTCATGATATGTCTTCTTTTTCATGAAGAAAGTCTAACTTCCAAGTATATAAATATACTTAATCACCCAACAAAATATCAATCTCATCCAATGACCACAAAAAGATAGCCATAAAGAGTTAGGCTATAAACTAGCCATTCAAAGGTGCATGCCACACAAAAACTAGACCATTTATCTATAGTCAAACCATATAATTTCTTATTACTATATTAGATAAGCATTTTTTATACATATTTTATCTTTTTATATTTAATTATTTAAGTATCAAAGTATCCCCTATTTATATGAAGATCTAATTTTCAAAAGCAATCTAAATTAGATAAAAATATATATTCTAGTTATCATTCCACTAGAGTAGAATTTTACCGTTCAACCATGAAACATTCATTTTACATACATACACACATACATGTGTGTGTGTGTGTGATGAAGGTGGCAATGATAAAAAATCTCCGAGTCTACTAATGTAACAGTCTTTTTTATAGTTACTAAAATGGAAACAAAAGTAAATTAGAAGTGCCAAAATACAGAAGAATGACATATTTAAAAACAGGTTTTAATTAATGAGAATACCTTCTCCTTGCTTACCTTACCTTGAAGGCTCGATCCGATCTAGCACAGCAAATTCTCTCTCAGTGAACCAAAACACCAAACCGAGCAACCTCGTCATTTTTTCACATTAAAAAGAAAATCCTCTTGTTTTCTGAATCATCAAATGATTACTGTCTCCGTGAAGCCATTGTTCACGGCCATCTTCACACTCTCGCTTTTCCTAGCTATCGTTTTGCTGTCTCCTTCTTCGCCGTTTTCATCCGTCCCTTCAAATAAACAAGCGTAAGTCACTTTATACTATAGGTGCTTGATGCCATTTTATGCAGTGCGATTGTAATTGGGTTTATTTACTTGTATTTTATTTAGAGGGAAATCGGACATATGGGGTGTTAAGAGGCTTGTGGAGTGGAGGCCGTGCAGGTGGTGGATTCATGGACCTCGCATCGGTATGTCTCTTCTGTGCATCTGATTTTTGCGTGGGCTCTTTTGTTTCTGGTTCCTTTTTTTTTTTTTCCTCTTTTACTGAATTATGCACTTAAGGGGTGTTCTCTTCTGTGCATCTGATTTTTGCGTGGGTTCTTTTGTTTCTGGTTTCTTTTTTTTTCCTCTTTTACTGAATTATGCTCTTAAGGGGTGCTGGTAATAAATCCAAACTCTCTATATAGCTTTAGTGAGATTTAAATATATATTTTTAAAACAGATACGAGATAGAGTACATTTACTTGGCTTTGAATAGAAAGAGAACAGAATTTGGAAACTTAGAATGGCAGTGAGTTTGAGTTATGGGAAGCAAGTTCTTTTCTTACTGTGTTGTCAATTAAAATTTTTACTGCTTCAAGGTTTGAAAATGGTTTGGATTTTGGTGAAGATTTGTTTATGCACAAGTTTTTTCGTTATTTACTTAATATTGAAATCCGGGATAAATCTGCTGTTTCGGGAGGGATTCAGGTGTTTTTTTCTAATCATCACGTATGCTGCTCGGAATATGGTTTGAGTCAAAGTAAAGGAATTCTCCTGCAGTTTTCTTTTCTTCTGTTTTTTTTTTTTCCCGAGTCAATTTTAATTGGTTTTCATTGCAGAAAATTGCATTGGTTTTTTTTGTTGAAATCATGCAGCCCTACCAGCAGAGAGTAATGGATATATCCGTGTGGATTGCTATGGTGGCCTCAATCAGATGAGACGAGATGTGAGTGTGGAGTAAACATTATTTTTTGTTATTTCCAGGTAATGCTCGTTAATGTATGCTGTGTTCATAAATGCTCCTTGTTTATGATTTATGCAGTTCTGTGATGGCGTTGGCATTGCCCGCTTGTTAAATGCAACTCTGGTTTTGCCAAAGTTTGAAGCCGCTGCTTATTGGAATGAGTCAAGGTAGTTGTTGATCACGTTTATCAATTACCACTGGTTACAAACTCAGAATAATTTAGATTGAATGTGCAACCTATGGAGATGGTCCTCATTCCTGCATTCTGAATAACTAGATAAACCGAGGAAAATTTTTGAAATCCAAGTAATATGAAACATGAGTTGATTTACTCTATTCTTTTGCCAGATGTTATAACCGCTCCAAGTAGACTGTGTCTGGGATTTTCACGACTTCAAATTTTGTATGCATTTCCATGCAACATTATTAGGCTATTGTCATCATGGATCAAAATTTAGGATGTTTGGTAGAACATGCTTTTAAATGGATGTGCTATGTTTGACGTTGTGGTTATTTGGTATGTTTTAATGGAGTGTAGAGTGTTTAGGTATTGAACTTTGATTCAGTGCAGTTAGATTGATGTTTGTGTCTTTTTGGAGCTGATATTGCCGCTCCACATGTTTATATTGGTGCTTCATTTATTTATGTTTTCATTTTCTTTACCGATAGCATATGATTATGAGATCTAAATGCATCAAACCCAAGGACATGTTGTCTTGTTTGCTCTCACCAGCGGATGCATGTCATCTGCACTAGCTGGCACCTCTTTTAGGAGTAAAACGTCACTGTTTCAGTGTCATTTGAGTCCTCTGTTGAACGCATTTTTTCTTATGAACTTTTGGCCGCCAAAATAATTAAATCTGATCCCAAGACAGTACTACAATACTACAATGTCTTTCCAGTTTTCAACCTCAAATCATCTTTTAAATTCAAGATCTAAACACAAAATGAAAACAACTTAATTTTTTTTCCTTGATCCTTCTTATTTTAGGTCTAAAAGCCACATAAATGGGGCAAAGGAATATGATGATGACAACAAACTGACAAAGGGTCATCTAGATTTCGTTAGTGTCAGCCCAGTGCCATGATCTATTTCCTTTCTCCTTTTTCCTTCACTCGCAGATTTCTTTGGTTATTTTATAAGAGGTCAATAAGATGGTGCAAATAAGGTGGGTTTTTGAAAGTTAAATCGGTCCAATTCATAACTAAAAGTCAAACTTCTAATTCAAAAGGAAATAAACAGCACCAAGTTTATCTTCCCCAGCCAATCCAATGTGTGGTGAAAAAAAGTGAAGGTCGCAGATATGGCGAAAAGGGTACAATGCTTTCCACTAGAAGTTTAAGTAATGTGCTGTCACTCTAAGATTATCTATGTCCATTCATAAAAACAAAAGGAAAGAAAATTATGTGGAGCAGCAATAAAGCTCTCATCTCTACTTCTTTTTCTTTTCAAAATAAGCAGATATACAGTGTACTTTCCCTGTTCATAATCACTCTCCACGCCACTCAACCCCCCAATAGTGAATTATTTATCTTCTTCTAGGGAAAGTCTTCTTTCATCCATAAGTAATATGAAGATTTTGTTGAGCTTGTTTCATTTTTGATATTCATATTATTCTTACTGTTTTAAGCAGCGTATCTAATGTAATAAACTGAATTGGAAACTCTTCCTTTCATGGAAACGTTGTGAAAATGTTTGAGATGTACTATAATCCAATATCAAGTAATGTAGGCTAAAAGCATCTTTATGTGTTTGAATTTGATTGCTGTTATTTCATGGACAATATCAGTAAATGACCCTTTAATTGTACTTCAGTGGGTTTGCAGATGTATTTGATGTTGATTACTTCATTCAACAGATGGATGGCTACATTAAAGTTGTTAAAGAACTGCCACCAGAGGTTGCATTAAAAGAAGCCTTTCATGTAGACTGTAGCAAAAGAAAAGGCCAATTTGATTACATTGAAAGTGTCCTTCCATCTTTATTGAAATACCAGTATATTTCAATTACACCAGCAATGAGTCAAAGAAGGGACAGGTACCAGATTGCATTTCAATTTCTATATATTTTTTTTTTTGGTGTTGTGATTACATGATAATGACTGTTAGGCCTGTAAGTTTGACCACATGCTTATTTTTGTTAGCCTTAGGCTTTGTTTTCATGTTTAGAAATGGTAAAATAGCATGCAGTTTGTTATGTAAGAGTATGCACCGTTTCTTTGTTTAGGTATCCTCTGAATGCAAAAGCTGCACTTTGTCAAGCATGTTATGGTGCATTACGCCTTACAAGAACCCTGGAACAGAAAGCTGCAGAACTTCTGGAAGCTATACCAAAACCCTTTCTTTCGCTTCATCTTCGATTTGAACCTGACATGGTAGCATATAGCCAATGTGAATACCCAGGCCTTTCCCCTGCCTCCAAGGAAGCCATTGAGGCTGCAAGGGGAGACAGAAAACCATGGACTGGGGAGCTGGCTCGCACTTGGAGAAAGCGAGGGAAGTGTCCCCTCACGCCTAACGAGACAGCCTTCATTTTTCAGGCACTTTCCATCCCTACGAACACAAATATATACCTTGCAGCTGGAGATGGCCTGATGGAAATTGAAGGTTTAAAATCTATTTACACCAACGTGGTCACCAAATCTGCACTTCTCAGTGGTGAGGATTTCCTAAATATGCACGGGAACACAAAAGCTGCATTGGATTATTATGTATCAATCAACAGTGATTTTTACGTGGCTACTTTTTTCGGTAACATGGATAAGATGGTTGCTGCAATGCGAGCTTATAAGGGATTGCATAATACCCTATTCCTAAGCCGGAGAGCTTATGCAGAGCTCAGTTCTAAGGGCTTGGATGGGAAGGAGTTGATGCAAGCCTTATGGCTGGCTCACAAAGAAGATTTTGCCATGGGAAGAGGGTCTGCTCTGCCTGACTGCTTTTGTGACTTCAAATCGTGATTTCATGTTTTAGGATTTGACTTGTTCGAATTTCTTTGTATATGACTAGTCCTGTAACACGTGTTACCGCGGGTAGGTTTCTAAATTAATTTTAAATGTAAGAGAATCTACTGACGTTGGATATCATGATTTTTTTAATTATAGAACAAAAAGTTATTGTTTATGCATGATTAAATAAATAAATAAAATTTATGAATTTATAAATTAAAATAAATTGTTAACGTAAACTAAATACTATAATGAGAAATTAATTTTTCTATGCAAATATTTTATAATGGTTGTTTTTTGTTATATACATAAATTTTTATTTTATCTTTAGAGGTTAATTTGTGTGCTAAAAACAAATAATTTTTATTTTTACGAACTTTATACTTCATACAATTTATTTATACAAAATTTAATAATTTAAAAATAAAATATAAATACTTCATACAATTTATTTATACAAAATCTAATAATTTAAAAATAAAATATAATTTATTTTAAAAATAAAGATTAATTACTAATTAGGAAAACTAAATTAATGTTTTTAAAAAAGAAGAGTATGCATTAAAACTTAAATAAATAAAAAATTAAAAAAAAGGGTCAAGTGCCTCGAAGTCTCGGCCAATCATAAAAAGGCTTCAACCCTCATGTTTTATTGATTAGATTTTTTTAAGTTGCTTGCTCAAGGGTTTTTTTAAAAGGTGACAACATGCTTGTTGTGGTAGATAATGGATTATTAACTTAATTATATAATTTTTTAATTACAGATTGAAAAATCTAGGGTGAGATTTTAAAATCTATCTTTTAATTTTTTTTTCATATGAAAACATCTAAAATAGTTTAAGAACCTTAATAAATTTATTTTTAAACCAAAACTCCCCCTAATCACTTTAAAAAATAAAATAAAAAATTATAAACCATGTTCTATTTTTTTGACTTTTTTTTTAGTAACTCGGGGTGTTTGAGTCAGTTTACGCGCACCACAACTAATCCTTAGGCTCACTAAATATCCTGCAAGTCCAGTAAGCATGTAAGGCACCTCAGGAATCATAGGCATGCATAGTAAAGCTTGAACCTTGATGCAGAGGAAGGGAACAAATCCCTTCCACCACTGGACCACAACTTCAATTGCTTTTTTTTTTTATATTATTAAAAAGCAAGATGATCTTTATTAAACTCTTATTGAAAAGACAAATATATTAATACTAAGACCAGTATTTTGGTGGTAAGAGTGTGATCATCCAAGCACCTTTTCATTTTCAATATTTTTCAATGACTTTCTTTTTTTTTTTCTCAACATCTAAGAATTAAAATATAAAAAAATAAAGTTTAAGATTGAAATGTAAAATGCTATAAAAAGGAACCAAAATAATTTATAAACTCAAACTTCAAGGACAAGTTTTTTCACACCAAAATCATTTTAAAATAAATTACAATAACTTCTTTTAAGAATAAAGATTAATTACTAGTTGAAAAATACTTAAATAAGCATTTTATATATGTAAAAAAAGAGTATGAATTAAAACTAAAATAATAAAAAAAAAAGAGTAAAGATAAGGGCCAAAAAAGCTTTAACCTCTTGCTTTGTTGATTAGATTTTTTTTAAGTCGTTCGCTCAAGTTTTTTTTCAAGGGAAACAAGTTTGTTACGTGTCGTGGTAGATGATAAGCTATTAACTGTATAATTTTTTAATTAGTCTTGGAGATTGAAAACTCAAGTTCGAGTTTTGAGATTTTAAAATCTATTTTTCAATTTTATTTACATAAAAACATCTAAAATAATATAAAAACCTTAATAACCTCATTTTTAAACCAAAACATCCTTTAATCACTTAAAAAAAAAAACCCTTATAAACCATGTTCTTTTTTTTTTGGCATTATTAAAAAGTAACACAACTTTTACTCAGCTCCAACTGAAAAAATGAACCTATTAGCATTAAGATCGACGTTTTGATGGTAAGAATGTGATCATCCGAATATTTTTCTCGTCCTCAATATTTTCCAGCAACTTTTTCTTTTTTTCTTAACATCTAAGAATTGAAATATAAAAAAATAAAATTTAGAATCAAAATGTAAAATGCTATAAAAAAGGGACCAAAATAATATATAAACTAAAACTTTAAGGACTACTAAAGTTTTCCGCACCAAAATACAAATGAATTTTTTTTATAAAAAAAAACAAATGTCTCTGTTCTCTTAATTTTGTTGTTAACTACAAATAAAAATTCTATTTCACAAAATTGATTTCAATTCATGGTTAGAATATTATTCAATATTTGCAGTAAAAAAATCTTTACTAACATAAATGAAATTAAAAATATACTAAATAAAATAAGTTTTCATATAAACAATGCAATGAATAATAGATATAGTTAAGTTAGATATTAAGGTTTTAGCCTTATGGTTGATTAGGATTTGGTTCACCCATTTTTTTTATGTTGGGTTGTTGATAATTCCTATTTAATAGAATTATTTACTTTCAGTTGTTTTGGTCAATTAGCTGCTTCCCACCTTACATGAGTTATGGATACGTGAGTTGATTTTTAGTTTCTTCTATTACTGCTTGTAAGGCTATTTATAGTCAATTCTCTTTTAATGAAAATTGCAAAAAATATTATAGTTGTTTTTCAATCTTCTAAGATCAACGTTTGGTATCAAAGCCTTATATGTTGTTTGATTGAATCGTAAGAAACAGCAGCTCTCTGTAAAAGTGACAAGTGAAGAGATGTCGATGGAAACAAATTTATGCAGCCATCAATTCCAAAGTTTAATGGATATTATGACCATTAGTCTATGTTGATGGAAATTTTTTTATGATTGAAAGAATATTGGAGTTTAATAGAACAAGGAGTACCTACAGCAACATAAGGAGTATCTCTGACAGACGCGCAGATGAAGTTTATTGATGATCATCGATTAAAGGATCTGAAAGCTAAAAACTATTTGTTCTAAGCTATAGATCGATCCCTCTTAGAAACCATTCTAAAAAAAGACATAGCTAAGGATATATGGGACTCATTGAAGCAGAAGTATCAAGGCACGACTAGAGTTAAGCGTGCACAGTTGCAAGCACTTCAAAAGGAATTGGAGATGCTACAGATGAAGGTTGGTCAATCTATGAATGAGTAATTCACGGTGAGAAGATGAATGATGTTGCTGTTATTGAAAAGATTTTGAGATCATGGCACCGAAATTCGACAATGTTGTCTGTGCTATTGAGGAGTCTAATAATGTGGAAGCCATGTCCATAATTGAATTACAAAGTAGCCTCCTGGTGCATGAGCAACATATGAATTATCATATTGTTCTAGAAGAACACATATTAAAGGTGACGTATGAAGATCATTCCAGAGGAATAGGACGAGGTCATGGTGTTTTTAGAGGGCGAGGTAGAGGGCGTATCAGACCAAGTTTTGATAAGTCCACCGTTGAGTGCTACAACTGTCATGAACCTGGGCATTTCCAGTATGAATGCCCAAAAAAGAGACTTGGAGCCAATTTTGTTGACACAAGTGAAGAGATATTGTTGATGGCTTATGTTGAAGAGAAGAAAATCAACTCAACAGAAGTTTGGTTCTTCGATTCAGGATGTAACAACCATATATGTAGGAAGAAAGAGCTTTTTTTGTGATCTTGATGAGAATTTCAGAGAGACAGTAAAACTAGGAAACAACTCAAGCATAACAGTCATTGAGAAAGGAAATGTAAGGATTAAGGTTAATGAGAATATTCAGGTGATCACTGGTGTTTTTTATGTACCTGATCTAAAGAGTAACTTACTGAGCATTGGTCAGCTTCAAGAGAAGGGACTTGCAATTCTTATTCAACATGGGAAATGTAAGGTCTACCATCCTAATTGAGGATTAATTATTGAGACCATAATGTCATCAAATAGATTGTTTATTCTACTTGCTTAGTGTTAAGTAAGAGAGCAGACTTGTTACAGCACTATGACAGAAGATTCAGCTAAAGTTTGGCATCGCAGATATGGTCATTTAAGCTATGATGGACTGAACACTCTTCAATAGAAAAATATAGTGCACAAACTATCTTAGATCAAGCCTCTTACGAAGCTATATGAAGAATGGATGATTGGAAAACAGCCTAAAGATCCTTTTCCCAAGAACAGTACATGAAGGGCAACCCGAGCTCCTCAACTAGTGCATGCAAACATATATGGACCAATTAAGCCTATCTCTAACAGCAACAAGATGTACTTTATTAGTTTCATTGATGATTTTAGTTGAAAATTTTAGGTTTATTTCCTAGCAGAAAAATCAAAAGCTTTTATTGTTTTTAAAAGCTCTAAAAGTCTTGTTGAGAAAGAGACGGGGGTTTACTTAGGTGGGTTAAAAACTGATAGTAGAGGTGAATTTACTTATAATGAATTCACCAGTTTTTGTGCTGAACATAATATATAAAGACAACTAACAGTAGCATACACACCATAACAAAATGATATGGCGGAGAGAAAAAATAGGACCATTATGAATATGGTTAAAAACACGCTAACTAAGAAGAAGTTTCCTAAGAATTTCTGGCCAGAGGCTGTTAACTGGTCAGTTCATGTGCTGAATCGAAGTCCTACATTGGTTGTGAGAAACATCACCTTAGAAGAAGTTTGGAGTCAAATCAAACCTTTGGTCTCTTATTTCAAAAAATTTTGTTGCACTACATATGTTCATATTTCTGATAATAAGATAATAAAGTTAGATGACAAAAGTTTAAAGTGTGTCTTTCTTGAAGTCAGTGGGGAATCCAAGGCCTACAGATTGTTTGACCCATTATCTAAAATGATTATAATTAGTAGAGATGTGAAGTTTGAAGAAGAAGGAAGCTGGGACTGGGATAACAATTATGAAGAAGCCATTTTGGTTGATCTAGAGTAGAGTGACAACAATATAGTTAACACAAATGCAAAAGAGCTAAGGCCACATACAGATGAAACAGCAACAATCAGGCTATATACAGACGAAGAAAGCTATGCAATCAGACCATATGCAGATATCGAAGCAATAATCATGCCACATATAGACGAAATAGCAACAATTCTGAATGTGAATATAGAAGGGAACGAGTCTACTGCAATAGAAGAAAATCAATCAACAAGCTCAAAAAAGAAAAGAATAAGGAGACCACCAAGCTGGATGCAAGATTATATAAGTAGTGAGGGTTTATTTGAAAAAAATGACTATGCATTTTTAGCTTTGTATGCAGGCAGTGATCCATTAAACTATGCCGAAGTAGTGAAAAGTGAGAAGTGGCAGAAAGCTATGGAGGCAAAAATAGATGCAAACGAGAGAAACAACACTTAGGAGTTCACTAGATTGCCTAGAAGAGGGGAAAAGGTGGGAGTTAAATGGATTTTCAAGATAAAATTTAAAGAAGTTGGTGAGGTGGATAAACACAAGACTCATTAATTAGTACTTTAAAGTGTATTTTTATCAAGGTTTTATATCATCATTTTGCACTGCAAGTATCAATAAATCCTTAACTAGAGCATGTTTCATAATAACAAGTCTGATAATATAAGATACCTTTAATTTATGGTAAATGTTCATCTTAAATATGGATCTATCACATAAATGAAAGGATTGATTAATGAGTTTAACTACTGAAATTGAGAAAACAAAAAGAGGGTTAAGTTTCGAAAAAAGATGTTGGTTCAGTTCAAACTAGAATATCATTCAGTTATTAGATCATAACTAAAGCTGTAGAACTTAGTTTTAAGTCTACTATATATGGATGAAAAATTAAAATATAAATCTAAAACTTTCATGAAGAGTTGAAGATTCAAAAAGACTGTTTTACAATTCAAATTGTAATAACAATGAAGAAGTCTAAGATATTAAGGTTTTAGCTTTATGATTGATTAGAATTTGGTTCACCAATTTTTTTATGCTGGATTGTTGATAATTCCTATTTAATAGGATCATTTAGTTTCAGTTTGTTTTGGTCAATTAGCTGCTTCCCACCTTACATGATAAGTTGTGTATAAGTGAGCTGATTTTTAGTTTCTTCTGTTACTGCTTGTAAGGCTATTTATAGCCAATTCTCTCTTAATGAAAACTGCAAAAGATACTACAGTTGTTTTTCAATCTTCTGAGATCAACAGGTTATGGGGGGAAAAATCGAACGCACTGTACCTTTCCCTACATCCTTCAGTTTATTTTGTTATGAAATTTGACACTGATTGCAGCTCCCATTCCAAGAGCTTATTGTTCGAATTTCCTTATAATTTATTTTGCAATTGCTTTATGCAAAACAAATGCCCTCAAAACCTTTGGCAGAAGAACAACAAAAAAAGAGACGTCTGCAAATTCATTATGCATTTTGAACAGGCTTCAGATTCATATTAACTGGAAGTCGTGCTTCTTTCAACTGGGATTTTCACAGTAATTTTAGAGTCCTGGTTTTCTTCCCTGTTCTCCAGTGAATTCTACGAGTGACATTTCCCTCTCTGACCTCATTTCTTCATCTCAGGACCTTCCTGTAACTTTTGGAAGTAGGAACGAGGAATTTAGACTGCCCAGGATGTTTTATGCAGCATTTTGGAAGTCGAAATTATCAGTGTATCAAAAACAGTACATTTTACTCTTGGCAGCTCTGAATGAGCAAAAGATAGTATGAGATTTTTTATTGACCACAGAATTATAAACAACTAATATTGTATTAATTATGCACGTGCGGTTGTCGGAGACTTTCTGTTCATAAAAGTTCTATAATCCTCTCCATGAACCCACTTGAGTTTATCGCCCCCATAACAAGGAAAACCAATTATTCACCATGAAAACTTAAAGGAGAGACCATGTATATATGTGTGTGCGCGCGCGCGCGCCTCTCACTAATCACCAATAAATAAACAACATGAATACGATACCTTCTGAGGCCTCAAGAGTTGAATTCGAAGTAGACAAAATAAAAAGCCACTTGAAATCTCAAACAATAATTTCTCCATTTAAATAAGTCCAACTATACATATGGCATCTTGGGAATGCAGGATACATCTCTACCAATAGCTGCTTTTCTGTCTTGGATTTATGAGAAATATGCTTCGATGTTTCTGACAGGAGCAAAAATTTGAAGCAGGGAACCGAGCAACAGGATGGAGCTTCGTACATCGCACTAGTGCTAATAAGTAAAATCTGAGGTTGCCGGTTTATCAGGCAAAACATAGAGCACTTACTATAAACAACCAAACTCTCAGCGGCACCAATCATTGCTAATAAAATGTTGTCAAAAGACGCTCAGATGCTTAGACAATGAATTTCAACGAACACTTACATGGTGCCTTTTCGCAGAGAAATAACTTTCTTATTTTGTTTATTTTGTTTTAAAGCTGAAAAAAATGTAACTTTATATGATTATGTATATAATATCATACATGTATTCTTTTAAGTTAGAACATATCATCTTGGTTCATTCCGGCGTGCACCTAACACCTTGGGCATTTTCGCCTTTGACAACACTGGCTAGCTATCCCACTTTATCCAGATCTGCAACCACAATCTAGCCATGAAAAATTAATCCGTCGAACACTGACTGCCTCAGTCAAATGAGACATCAAGTTTCTACTAGAAAGCTATAAATTAACAAACACTTCAGAAGCAATTTCTGCTGCCAAAGAGCACCATTAAACATTCCACCTTGCAACCGTCATCCCATTACTTCACAACAGTATCCTTTCTCCAGCACACCTCTCTTCCCTTTCAGGCTGTGCCAATTTTGATTTGCAACTTTTGTCCTGCACAGGTACAATTATGAAAAAAGTTTAAGAATTCCTATCATTAGAGAAAAGGATGGATTTGAAGAACCGGAAAGGTTTGGTTTTCTCCCCCCGTGGCAGAATGCAAACATGAATAAGTTTCATTAAAACCTCTTATGTGTCTAGTTTCTGTTCCTACCTATCTATTATTAAATATAAATTAATAGAAGAGATTCAGTCTAATCCTAGTGTTCATGCAGCAATCGACTCTACAAGGAAATTTAACATGTAGATTAGGACATAGGAAGGGTGAGGAATAGTATGATTTTGTAATAGCCGTTCACTCCAATAGGCATCTTCACCTGGAGGAGCAAAATCTAAGTTTTTTTATTATTGATAAACAAACTATATTACTTGATGTACTTCATGTCATCATCAGAAGGAACTATAAAAAACAATTATCACCAACAGATGACTTTGCACGATGAAGCTTGTTTCATCTTTATATTGATGCAACTTCAGGCAAGTCAGCAGCTTGTTTAGAAAAGGAAGGAACAGGAAGTGGTGGTGCACTGTGGGGATGCCAAGGACGGGGCAACCATATTGTTTTGGTTTTTACCTAATTTGAATTCAGCTTCATAAAGAAGTAAAGTTGAATATTCCTTTCATGAAGCTCAGTAAGCACCTTTTGTTTGTGTATGCATATTTCCAAAAAAGAATTCCATTGAATCGCTTGTTAGGAACATACAAGAACTGAAAAAATGTTCTACAATTCTACTTTTCAATTTTATTTTATCAGAACAGCAGGTTCACCAAATTAAAGCACCATTTGACATTGCGTTTTAGGTGCTTTTTAATGTTCTTTTCAAAGTGTTTTTTTTTTGTTTGAAAAGCACCAAAGTGATGCCTTTTTAGGTGCTTCTAATGGTTTTGTTATGTGAATATCAAAATCATCGAAAAAAATTTAAATTGGTGCCTTTACATATAAAAAGGCACTTTCAACCGCATTACCAAACATACACTAAAATAACTTTTGACAGTTTGTCTACCCTAAAAAGAGGTAACCATATTTTATAAATACAATATGCTCCTTTTGGTGTATTAGTGCAATTTTTTGGATGTTTCATGTCACAACAACTATTTTTTAAGAGATGAAACGACTAACACCTACTAGAACTATTAATCGTGATGATGCAGAAAACAAGAGAGTCAAAATTGTTGTATTCTAACATGATTTTCATAGACACGTTATTTCTGAAATTTCTAGAATTGCTGTAAATTCTATAGGTCTTGGTTTTTTTTTCTATTTAGTGTTTTATTAGTCCTAAAGAGTAATAGCTTTATTAGGATTATAAGCATTTTCTTCTATAGGAAGATAAGTCCTAAGAACTCTATATAAAGGTTATGTAATTGTTCAATACAAGAGAAAATCAGTTCATGAAAAAAAAATCCAGCAATTTGCCTTTGATAGTGTGACTCAATCTTCTCTTAGGTGTGACTCCTAGAAACCACATTAATAAGACTCTAATAGCTTCTACAATTCCCAGGAACTCAAATCCCATATTCAAACAGCCTCTATGGAATTACTAAGAATCCAGACATTCAATCCCAATCAGTCCTATAGTTACTGACCATCAAAAGACCAACTCAAACCCTAAAATGTTAATGTCCACAGCTGTAAAACAGCCCCAAAGCTGTCCTTTATCATGTAGTTCAATAAACATTGAACATAAAAAATTTTGAATCAAAACATCAGCCATCACTATCAACACATATCAGCTTACATTGATATACTCCACAAAAGTTCAAATTAGAAATACTAGGCATCTAGAACAATGAAGCGGTAAGTTCTGCAAAACAACTAAGCCCAACCAACAATAATGAGCAAAATAATTGATGCTTACCAATGCTGGCATCTAAGCAATAGATAACAAAGAGATAACACACTCTTTTGGCTGGCTAAACAGCTCTTCGTCAATTGAAACTGCAAAAATTTCAAATAAAAGGCATCATATTAGAAAATCAAATCAAATCAAAACTTTAAGCCAATTTACATATCAAACCTGATGTAAATATGCCTAACATGAAAGTCAGAGCAGAAGACATGTTCACACTCATAAATACATACAATGAGGAAGTTGCATGATGATTTAAAAAGAACACTCCAAGTCCATGAAGATTGATGCAAATAACAAGTTTAAAAAAGATGGCATGAGACATCAGTATTCAGTAAGTACAGCAATTATTGACAGGTGAACATCCAAAACCCACATGCTCCAACACTCGTAGATTAGAAAGAAAAGAGTAATGCATTTGAAACAGACAAAGATAAGGGAAAAAATTGAATGAAAACTTACAAGAATCATGGCACCATCCAGTTAGAAATTTAGAAATTTCATTTCATCAGGAACTTATTAAAAGCTACAACAAATTAATTGAATAAAGGGAACGTTCCCTTTGTTTGATGTTTAAGGGCGAGGATATCCATATGGTTATGTGGATGTATCAGAGGACAAAATGAAATGAATATCCCCTGCTGTGAGGCTGTGGTGTTACAAAACCAAGTTTATCTGAGCATTTCCATAACCTCAATTCAACTTCTAGACAACACAGCTTGCAAGGAACGCAAATGACTTGAAGGAAAAGGAGGCACTCTCTTCTGAGCTAAAGTCACGATCACCTTAGCCTTGTTAAGCTGCCCATTCTTCTTCAGCCCTTCAAGCAGCATATGAATGGTATCCACATTCAAAAACCAGTTATTTCTCATGCAATCTCTACACATTGTATAAGCCAAATCAAACTCCCCACCCTTGCATAAATAATGAACCATTGTTTGGTAAACTTTAACATTAAATTTATGCCCCTTGCCACGTAAAGAAAAATACACCATTTTGGCCATCTCAAGTTTACCAGTCTGGAAAAAGCCTTTTATAACCAAATTATATGTAACCTCATCAGGCATAATCCCAATTTTTAGCATCAAACGCATCACATCATTTGCATGCCATGCCCGTCTTATGTTGACCAAATACTGAATTCTAACATTAAATGTTGCAAGATTGGGTAAACATCCCTTAAGCACCATAAGATTCCACAATCCATTGCCAATCTCTGACCTGTTGTTCTTATAAAATGCTGACATAAGTGTGGTGTATGTGATGACATCTGGCCTTACCCCTGACTTTTCCATCTCTACCATGAGCAAATATGCTTTATCCAAATTTCCCGTTTCACATAAAGCCTTAACAATGATGTTAACAGAAAATATGTCTAGCTCAATATCAAACTTCTTCGGCGCCTCATTAACAAAGGCCTCGATTGCTGCTAAATCACGGGTTCCAGTCAAAACCTTCAGTGCAGCATTGACGGATTTAACAGTCCTTTTACAGCCGTGCAAATGCATATTATAGAAAGTATCAATAGCATGCTTTATCATTCCAGCCTTTCCATACAGCATTATAATCCTCACCATGAACCCTTCGCGCCTACCTTGTGGAAGAGGCTTCTGGTGCTCAAGTAAATGCTCAATGTAATCAAACCTGTTAGCACCAGCCAAGCGAGAAACGGTATCTTCAAATGCAAACCGATTCTCCACAACAAGCCTATTCTCAGCATTGGCCTTGAAAAGATTAAATAGCTTTTCAGGGTCTCTCTCAGCTTTAAGCCTAACAAGTGCAGGTTCCTCCAAAGGTTTCTGGTTTTGATTCTGAATGCGGTTAGATACAGCTGCAGGACTCCGAGTTAATGCAACGGAAGCAGCAAAGTTGCAGAATCTGCGAGTGTTTCGCAGAGAGAGCATGTCTTGGTTTCTTCCTCAAATTGAAACATACCCATGTTCCATCCTCAAGATCCAATGCAATAACGTCAAGAAACCTTCACAGCACATTTAAAAAAAAGATGAAAAACCAGAAAAAAGAGGATTTCTGTCAAACAAACACAAAAGCCTGCCCACATTAAAGAGATTATCTTGACAAGATTTTTAATGAAAATCCATACCCACTACACATGGAAAACTCGCAGAGGAATTTTATCAAACAGAAGCATACCCATATGCTAAAACAATGATTCCAGGCACTGAGTAGAAGAAATCTTCAAAACCCATGTGGAAAATAGAAAAAACAACAAGATGAAAACTCAAAAAAAGCAATCTTGAGATAATAAAGAACAAGAATTAAGCAAAAAGGAGCAGGGTATGGATATATTTGTTCAGTGTGACACGGAGTGACAGTAGTGGCTACGGAAACAAATATGAATAGAAAGAGGGTGAGGATTGGATCTTCCGGGAGGGAAGGGGGCTTTTGTTGTTTTGGGATTTAGGTTTTGGAGTTAGGACTTCTAAGTTATTTGTCAAGTGTTTTCGGAAGATCATGGTAAAGCCAGAAAGAAAGATACTGTGGGCTGCCATGCTGTTATTATTTTTTATTATTATTTTATTTAGGTTTCGAGTCACAAATTCAACCCTCAAAACTCAACGTGGAAAGGGTACGGCTACAAGAGGTGGGATAGAGAAGACTGATTTGTGTCACAAATCAGATGAGAAACTCTCTTGTTTATAAATCATATATTCTTAATTATTTTTAAAATCAACATTAAAAATAATAATTATTTTTTATTTTTTTATTTACTTTAAATTAATATTTTTTAGTATTTTTAAATATTTTAATTTTAAAATTAATTTCTAAAAAATAAAAAATATTATTTTAATATATTTTTAAATAAAAAATACTTTAAAAAACAACTACAATCATATTAAAAAACAAACTTATGTCACACAAGAGCTAAATAATTGGGTTTTATTTTTCTTCTGTTGTGATTTCAAGGTTATTACCAAGTACCATCATTCAATACAGAATTAAAGAAAAAATAAATATAAGAATATTTGTAATGAATTTTTTTTAGAATTGAAGATAGAATAATTAAGATTGTTAATTTGATTTGTATTAAAGTTATTTTAAAAAAAAATGAATATCCAATTGAGTTGTTTGGTACATGTTAATTCATTAACCAGGTTTGTTTTGCCCTTTTAGCTCGGTTCTATTCCATGAGAGTGTTTACAACGTAAACCACAAGAACTCTCATTTAACTAATTGTCTTCCATTCCAACATCTTTACAGTAAAAATATGTTTGAAAGCATGGGAACAGCGAAGACCCAAGTTAGTTCCTTTATAAAATTTTTTTTTTTTCAAAACATATTAAAATAATATTTTTTATTATTTTTTAAAAATTATTTTTAATATTAATATATTACAATAATCTAAAAATAAAAAAAAATTAATTTAAAAAAACACTCTTCTTGAACACAATACCACACACACTTTAAGAATTTGTTCAAAATTAAAATCACAATTGCAATTTAAAATATTTTTCACTTGAAATTATATTAAAATAATATATTTTTATTTAAAAAAATATTTTAAATATTAACATATTAAAACAATATAAAAACATAAAAATTAATTTTTAATAAAAAAATTTAAAATTAAAAAAAAAACATGAATTACACCATATTTCCAAACAAATCCTAAAATCCAGACGGCTTTATGGTTTGCAAGCGGGCTTGGGCATAAGCAGAAATCCTGGAACAGTTCAGCCAAAATTCTACAAGCAAAGCGAACAAAACAAGGCTGACAGTGCTTCTGGTGCACAATCATCCTTCTTTCTTTTGTCCACCTTACAACATGGATAGCAAATTTGATACATTCAAGGTCAAGCCAGGAGGGCGGCTACTAACAACTACATCGCAGCTCTCGAATTTTGTTTAAGCCATTAGTCCTTTGAAGTTATGACAAGCAGTCCCAATGCGCCAATAAGAATATACTGCAAGAAATGAATGAAGGTCACAATTGTACGATAGTGACAGTCAAACGCAAAACAAATGGTGAGCATGAAACAAGATTTTAGTTTTCGCAGATGATTGACTGAGAAACCATACCTTGATAATAGGCTTTTCTGTCATTATAATCGTTACCCAACCAACATAAGGTAAGAACCTGCAGAAAGGGATGCAAGCAACATGAAGAACCTGCTTGCTACTGTTGAGTTCCAACACCATGACAATTGACACAAACCCAGTATTCAAACAGCCTGACTATCCTACAAAGAAAAACCCTCGAATGAAAGATAAAGTTACGGTCAAAATTTGTACCCAACAGCTCTGCCCATGATGTGATGCCGCTGAAGCCAGAGCTGCCCTTGAGCATACAAAAGCCTGTCATCCCCATAATTGTTATCTCCTGATAAAAACATCATTTTAGAAAATTAGGGATTTTAATAGAACAACAAGATTAACATTTTTGTAAGATCAATCACGTATGAAACGATACAAAATTTGAATATTGAGAAGGGTTATTTAATGGAACTTTTGATTTTAACAGTTTAATATCTAGAAGCAGCCAGCACCTTTTGTGAGGACATCAACCTCCCCAGTATCTTGCCTTTCATGGACCTGTGAAAAAAAGTAAATGTTGTAAGTAACTACATATTAGTTTGATGATAATTAACTAAATTAAGAGAGAAATTAACAATGAGAAAGATGGACTTTCAGTTTTCCCTCTTATTTTCATGAAAGAAAATGTTGATTTGAGATCAGGATAAGGAGGCCATATCAGCAACTACCCAACTTATATTTTATCTACCCTGGTAGTTTCTTAGCAAATGTAGGAATTGTCAGCATCCATTTCCACATACTTGAGATGTGTTTCACTGATAGGCAAACCAGGACACAGTCCTCCCACCCCTAATGTCTCCCCATATACACTCTCACACTTGTATGAGCATCCAGAATGCATCACTTCAATTTTGTTGTCACACACAGAGTGCACTCAACTTATCCTAACATAGTTTTCAGTATCAATATGGCACTAAACTAAATTGCAGTAAGGTCAGGCCAAATCTTTACCTTAATTACACGATGAACAATTGGAATTTCACGACCCTGGTCAATGAATAAGTATTTTCAGAATTAGCATATTGGTGGGAAATGTAGGTAGAAGCATGACAAAATGTGAGTGGATATTGAAGGAAAAAATATTACAAGCATAGCAAAAAAAAAATCATAGAATTTCCACAAGCAACAAATGATATTCTAAAGTGCAGCAAGATCATTACAACATGTATACATGTATTCAAACTATAGCCCCAAATAATCACATCAACTGAAACTTCAAAGCTCAAACACATAAACCATTTTTTAATTGCTAGATTTACATATTTCCATCCATTTGCCTTTTGGCATCTGATGGTAAAAACTTGATAGCAGTTTTGATGAACGACAAATTTTTGTTTCACAAATAACAAATGATTTACGGTAAAAAGACATTATTAAACTCTGTCACCTTTCATCCAATATAGAGGTAAAAGCAACATGGCAGTACTTATAAATATGATTTATGCAATTGTTCAATCAAATCGACAGTTCTTTCCCTAATCTCCAATCTTCATATAGCTAGCAAGTTCTATTTATTAGTAAATTATGTTTTAATGTCATAATAGTATTAAACTAAAGGAAACATAGTAACCTATATACAAGGCTTGAAATAATAGGAAAGAGAAAAATTGTGTTATGCTATCTCAAACCAGACTAGATAGCCATAAATAAAAACACATGAAAAACCTTCACAAAGAGAAGGCCCCTAAGAACCCAAACATGTTCCTCTGTTATCCATGCTGAGATGGCAAGCATATATCTCAAGTACAAGCAACCTTGGACCTTCATTTCTGTAAAATCTAAACCCAAATGCCAGCCACTATTTCCCCTACTATCAAGCATACAACTTATACTATAATAGAGTTATAGTGTCACAGGAACCAAAACCTCATTTCAAAGTCATTGAAAAGAAAGCAGGCAATGGAAAACAGAAGGAAGCCTCATCAATTTACACAAAAGCAGACTGAAAATACAACCAAGGATATTAAGCAAAACAAAATATACGAATAATTAGAAACTTACATCAACATTGAAAACAACAATTTCTCCTGCACGAATAGGATCTTTACTCATGTGCAAAAACAAAATGTCACCCTGAAAAAAGAGATTATAATTAGTCATACAGTTTGAATAGTAAAAATTGAAGGAGTTTAAGTGCGATGAAATTGTATTATCATCATCAAAACTAGAAAATAACAATTAAAGCATTAAGAATAACTTCCTGTTGCAAATATTTAGACAATGCATTTTTATGATAATCTCCTAAAATATTCAAAATGGAATTTACTAAATCAACTAGCAAACTAAAGTTTGATGTTAAATTTCATTGCAAATATTCAGCAAGATCAGAGCAATTAAATACATAAATAACATGCAAATGATGTCCTGTAAGACTTCCAGTGCATCCAATTCAATTATTTACATAATGTTGTTTATGTTGCCACTGTTTATGCTTAACCCGAAGCATGGGTCAGATAATGCAAATAGTCATGTAGCTATGTGTGGGGAAAGGTAAATTAAATATCATCAAGGCTTCTGGCGTGAGATGCAAGGCACTTGTTGTTACCAGCAATTCAAGCATAGAGGCGCAATGTAATGAACTTAAAAAATATTTTAGTCCCAATCATTTGTGCATGGTAAAAAAAATGTAAATTTTCTATCAAATTTCTCTGTTTTTTCTAATGAAAATGAAAATCCTATGAAAAAGTGTGTACTTCTAGAGAAGGACATGCAAATCATATTGTGCTAAGACAAAGCATTGGTAATAACAAATTGGATGTTGCACCCCTAAATTGTAAAATGGTGCTCAGAATCAAAGAATTTCAAAAGAGAAGGTAAAAAACACAAGAGGAATGCATGCAGATGGCTAAACATTCTGTCATAAAAGCCTCTGCATGTAAAAGGTAACTGTTCACAGAAATTGACATGGTACTTTTTTACTTCTTCTGAGGCCTCCAAGAGACAAGGTCATTTAACAGAGAAACATCAAGGCTGAGGAAGAATTCAATCTCAGCTTCCATAATTGTGAAAACTTGTGCAAGTGATTCTGTCCTCCATGCTTGACAAAATAACAGAAAAATGCATTTCTCTTCCTTTATTATTGTAACTGTTTGTGTATATTATCACATACTTAGAAAACGAATTATCAGTGCAAAACGGGACAACATGACCAATTAAGGATCATCTTATACCAACAATATTTCCTATCATTCCCATGTTATTCTGCTTACCCTCTTGAAGCCAGGTTCCATACTTCCAGAAAGAACAACCACCACTGGAGATTCACTGCCAGTGATGCACATCAATGCCTTCCATATTATTAGCGCAGATGTAACAATCATTCCTGGAACCAAAAGCAGATGTCTCAAAACAACAGATATCCTAGCAGATAGAATACAACCAGACACCAAGTAAGAGTTATCTTGAACTGCAGTTTCTTCTCTAATGGCAAACTGAATGTACTTGAATAATTGAAATTCAATAATGCGAACTATCCAAAATGTCAAAGTGAAGGAAAGGGGGGAACCAAACAAAAGAAAATTGTGCCAATGTGTTACCTGCTTGTTCTGTGGCATTTTATTTGTTTTATGAAAGGATCTAAAGATTTGCATGAAAGTTGTTCAATTGGGAACCAAACGAAAGGGGGGAATTTTGGACACTTGGTAGTGTCAACAGCAACCCATCCCAAACTCAAGTGAACAAATTATACTAGATTGAAACTCGGCTCAATTGTAACTGAAAATTGCATTGAACCATGCAAGGGCTAAGCATTTACATAAACAGATTGCAATCATTTCACAGTTTGTTTTCAATAAATGATTAAATGGCAAGCAACCAAGTAGTACAGAATCATAGTCAACCTTGAACAATTAAAACCAACTATTCATTGGGAACATATAAAGACAAGACAGTGTCCAAAAATGAAAATTTTCTGGCCATTTTGCATCTTTGTATTCTATGGCATTTTCATCTCTGTAAAAAAATAAAAATAAAAATAAAGCTCACTTTACTGTGCAGTATGAGTCCAATGACTACACTAAGCACACTAAAGTTCAGTCCTTTATGATGTTAAAGCCCCAATTCTTAAACCTTGGCAAAACAGCAATTCCCAATTAAATTCAAAACCCTCAGTATCATCACTGCCTGCCTAGCTGCTTCACCCACCACATAACATTGCATGCACAATTCAACCATACAAAGAACAATAATTAAAAAGGCATAAAATTAATTCAAAATTCAAACTTTAACAAATGACCTAAACTGACGGCCTGGGTGAGTAGCTGCCGAATCTGGATCGATTTAACGGAGTCTACGGTGTCTCCGATCCAACCCATTTTCCTTTTCTTCTCTCTACTCTTGTTATTGTGATTGATTCTACCCTCTTCCTGTGATTTGAGGCTTTTCCAAAGCAGCGTATATCCTAATTGAAGCGCTTACTTGTAGGAAAATAGCATTAGCAGCACTGCAGAGAAGCTTTGAACGACATCTCGGAGTTTTTATTGACTAAACGGCACGTCGGTAGAAAAATGGCGATTCTCCCACAATAAATTGGTTTCAAATCTTATTTTTCAAATATGGTGATTTTGATCTTGTTTCCGTATACATTATTTTCTCTGTCTGTCACCCATAAAATTAAAAAAAAAATAGAATAAAGGGTAATGTATTTTCCAGAATTTCCACTCCTTTTGCCTAAACCTTCTATTTCAAAAACTATATTTTATATGAATTCTCATTTTAATTACAAGAAAGTCTCGAACATATTAGGCACCTGGGTGCCCTTTTCATATTCTTTTTAATATTGTCTAATTTCCTATGATTTTTTTATTATATTTTATTTTTCTGTATTATTTGAATTTAATTTTAAAAAACATGAGTTTCCTATGATTTGTGTAATAAAATCCAAAGAAAACCATGCCTCATTGGATGTATATGGAAAGGAGGTTTCTCGACAATGTTACCCATAAAAGAAGCTTGATAGTAGTTTATAAATTCTGCAAATGCTAAAAAGGGGTCTAGATAATATTGCAGAGAAAGGTCTCTCCATCCTCTACCAATTCTACTATTTTTAAAAAAGTTAATATCTCAAAATATATTATTTTTCCATCTTATTTATATTAGTAGATTTTACTTAAAAAATAATTAACAAGGTTAAATTATATGTATAGTTACATTTTACAAAATAAACTACACACACACACACATATATATATATATTACAATAATAAAAACTTCCACCATTATATTTTTTATATCTCATTATTTTATTGTAAATGGTCAAATAATTATATTTCATATTCTATATATGTTAGATAAGCTAAAAAAAATAAAAAAATAATTTATTTTCATCTTATTTTTTATTGCATGATAAAATAGTGAAAAATATTTTTTAATTTTTTTTTATAAAAGTGTCAACATAATAAAATAACTCATTTTTTAAAAATCCACTTTTTATATAAATTACTTTTCAAAAATAAACTATTTCATGGCAAACAAGCAAGCTTGTCAATTTCAACAAATAGTAAAAATCATTTAATTATAAGAATTGGTTGCAATAAAAGACCTAAATGAATAACAATTTGTCGTTAATTTTCATTATTTTATGTCTAAAAAGAAAGTCAAAACCATAACTCTTTACGATTTTAAAGGGTTGTTGAATTTTAGTTATGGCTACGCTAAATTTTTTTGAATTTAAAAAAAATGTCTAAGTGATGATAATTATGGTCCATTCAAGTTAACTTCACTAACATGCAATCCAGAATATGAAATAGAGATAATCCACTCTAAGAAAACAAAAAAACCACAAAGTTGAAGAATCAATAACCAAATATAAAGGATGAAACAAAAAAAATCAATTTTAAAAAAATAACATTGAAGAAAAAACTCGAATTAATTTAACTAACCTGCCACCTCAATTTGAGATCGAAATGAAAAATATAGATTTTAAAAAAAAAACTAGCAAAAGAGAGTGATGTTAAATAAAAAATGCAAAAAAACCTAAATTAATATAGGTTAACTTGACTAACTTATACTTCGTATAACCCCACATAAAAAAAAAAGTGAATAAATCATAAAGTTCAAGGGTTAATAATTTAAGGTTGAATTATGTAATTGAAAAAAAATCATGAGAAAAACATTGAAAAAAATTTAAGTTAATTCAAGTTAATTTAACTAACATGCTATATAGGATAACCTATAAAAAGGACAATAAAAAAATAATAAAGTTTAAGCCTCAATAACCTAAAATAATGATGATTATAAAAAAAATTCATTTTTTTAATAAAGAACATAAAAAAGACTGAACTTAAATTAGATTCTGAATATAAGATCAATATTACGCTAGAGAAAGAAAAACACAAAAAACCATGAAGTAAGATTTTTAATCATAAAATAAAAATAAATAATAAATAATAATTAAAATAATAAGAATTAATTTTAGTATAAAAACTAAATGAAAGAAAATAAATGGGGACTAAATTCAAAAAACAAAATAAATTAAGAAAATAATAAAAAATAACAATAAAAAAATAAAAAACATAATTGAATAAAAAATAAATGAAATAAAATGTGGTGGGGGATTAAAAAAACTAAATCAAGAAAAGAATAAAAAATATAAATAAAAAATAAGAAACACATTGGATATAAGAATCCAATAAAATAAAATGTCTTGGGATATAAAATTGAAAAAGAACTCAAGTTTTAAAAACCATTAAAAGTAAAATAAATAGTAATTAAAAAATAAAAAATAAAATTAATAAAAACAAAAACCAAGGACGCTAAAGATTTTTAGAAGGATTTGCATTAATTTCTAAACTAAAAAAAAAAAAACTTGTTTGTGAGCATACGCCCCACCAACACACACGAGGAGGCAAACACATTGCTTCCAATACTGTCGTGAAATATAAATATTAGTAATCATTTGACCCTTCACGTGTAGCTCAAAAGGCAAGGAAGATGTCATTTACATATGAGTGAATATATTGCACGGATTAGTAACTTTTTTTTACCAATATTTATTTAAAAATTACCAAACAACTCCTAAACAAAGCTTAATACTAAAAAAAAAAAAACATAATAAAAAGAATAAGACTCCATCAAAACCAGCCTTAGAATCCTCTTAATTCAAGTGTACTTTTATCACCTCACGATTAAAAAAAAAATGAAAATGAAAAGACAAATAAGCTTCTTTGTGCAAGCTTAGCTTCTTTTTTTTTTTAGAGTAAGCATAATTTTACTTTGCAAAAAAAATATTGAAAAGATAAAAAAAAAACCCATGTATAAAAAGTAAATATTTTTGTTTTGTTTTTAGAGGCTTTTGTGTTAAAATAAATATGTATATCAATTTAATCCCAATCAATTTATAATATCCAATGAATCCTCTAGGAAAGACAATTTCACCCTCATATAACAAGGATCAATTTTGATATAAAAATAAAATAAATAGCAATCAAAAGAATTAATTTTAGTATAAAAACATAAAAAATAAAATAAATAGCAATCAAAATAATTAATTTTAGTATAAAAACAAAATGAAAGAAAATAAATAGTGATTAAATTGAAAAAAATTTAATAAAATGATAAAAAAATAACAATTAAAAGAATAAAGAACATAATTGAATAAAAAAATAAATGAAATAAAATGTGGTGGGGGGATTTAAAAAAAAACTAAATCAAGAAAAGAATAAAAAAATAAGAACGAAATTGAATATAAAAATAAAATAAAATAAAATATTTAAGGATGAAATTAAAAAAAAAAACTCAAGTTTCAAAAAATATAAAAAACAAAACAAATAGTAAAAAAAAATAAGAGTTAAAATTAATAAAAATAGAAACTGAAGGACACTAAAGATTTTTGAAAGGATTGACATTAATTTCTTAACTGAAAGAGACAAAACAAAAGGGAAAAAGAAAAATAATAAGTTCACCAGAGCCCAACCGCACCTTTTATGTGGGCATGCACCCCACCAGGCAACACATTGCTTCCAACACTATTGTGGAAGGTGGATATTGACAATCACATGAGCCTTCACATGTTGCTCAAAGGGCAAGATAGTTGTCATGCATATGAGTGAATATATTGCATGTTTTTTAATCAATATTTATTTAAAAAGTACCAAATAACCAAATGAGTGAATTTATTGCATGTTTTTTTAACTAATATTTATTTAAAAATTAGCAAATAACCCTTGAACGAACCTTAATACTACAAAAAAAATAAAAAAAAATAAAAAGAATAAGGCTCCATCAAAACCAGCCTTAGAAATCTCTTACTTCAAGTGTACTTTTATCTCCTGACTATTTAAAAAAAATAAAAATGAAAGGACAAATAAGCTTCCTTGTGCAAGTTTAGCTTCTTTATTTTTTTAAGTGTAAGCATAATTTTACTTTGGAAAAAATATTGAGAAAAAAAAAACCATGGATAAAAAGTAAATATTTTTGTTTTTTTTTTTTAGAGGCTTTTGTGTTAAAATAAATATGTATATTAATTTAACCCCAATCAATTTTATAATATCCAATGAATTCTCTAGGAAAGATAATTTCACCCTCAAATACACGTTTTGATTCTTTTTTAAGAATAAAATAATCATTGCACTATTGTAATCTTGGATCACAAAGTGTCGATGGCTTTTAGTTTTTTTTTTTTTTTAATACTCACAAACCTCAAAAGTAAAAAAAATAATAAAAAAAAAGTGTCATTCATGTACTTTAAAAAAAGAACAAGTGAAACTATTCTTTCATACAAGAACACCCTAGAATAAAGCGTTGTTTCGTTTTTCAGTTATAATAATTTATAATGTTAAACATTAACAGCATGCTTAATACAATGTCATGTAATATAATCAAATTTATAATGCAACGAAAAAAGGCAATGTAACTTAATAGGATAATTCAATAGTCACTTCGGTTTCAAAAATTTAATCATTTGCAATGAAGGTCGTGACAAATTCTCTGCAATTTTCCAAAGAATTATTTTAATCCACATATTTTATTTACAAATGCTCCCTTTTTGAAAATGTTCTTGATCCTTGTGTTTTATAAAAACTAGAATTTAAGTCTAATAATGAGACTATTTACAATTAAATTCCTATATGATTATTCTTAATCATGCAATGACCCATCATGTATATAATGCTTGTAATGTAAATATGTAACGAATCAATATTTTAGAAATTACACACACAGCCAGAAATAAAAATATAATGGACAGTTATATACATGCTTACATACCTTAAGGAGAAAAAAAAAACTGAGATAGTAAAACCTAAAAGTAAATTTCACTTTAAGATCATAATCTAACAATCCATTTAAATTCTTTTAGTTTTTTTCTCATTAATTTTTTTTTTTTAACAATGAGCATTATACTGGGTTAACACGAGTTGACAATGCATCGAGCGGAAAGTTAATCGCACAATGCGAAGAAACAGGGGGCATCAACAAAGCAAAATTTGCACCTTATTTTGTCCAAAACTACTTTATCAAAAGAAAATAAGTACAAGAAAAACAATAATCCAGTCAGTGTAAATGAGGCACACAAGTCCAGTCAGTG